GCGCAGAATGGGTTGATCTTGTCCAAGAGTTGACGAATGTCCTCCACCGTGAAGACCAAGTCGGTTAGAGGCTGTTCGTAGTTTCTCCTTGACAAGAGTGGATGTGACGAGGACGCTGGGACTGAGTATAGACACGCATAGTGTCCTCTGTAAACCTCAGATACCACTGTTGGGCCATTCGTCGGTTCTCTGTTTCTGTCCCTCAAGGAGGCGATGTCTCATGTAGTTGAACAAGACGTCTATGTTTTTTCGAGCGAGGTCCAGGATGGTGGCTTGTTTTCGTACGTTCCATTTGCGGATTTCTGATTTACAGCGGTTCTGCATTTAACGAAGTGCCAGGTCATCTTCTGCATCCCCTGTAGTCAACTTTTTGAAAAAGAGTCGGGACCTTTTTTCCAGAAGTCGCCGAGTACTTTTTGGCAGCCTGCGGTTCATCCGAGTGCGTGCTAGTTTTTCTGGGATGAACGTCGCGTCAGCCTCGTGAACTTTCTGGACAATGGTCCTATATAATTCTTCCACTGTGACTTTCAGTGTGACTTGTTCAAGGAAGATGCGCATCCCTAAGAAGTCCGCACGGCAAAAGTCTCGAAACCACGTTTGAGGTTCGGGATTTCTGACCCAATAACAGATGGAATCAAAGGTCAGCACACAGTGGACGCTATGTCCCAGTGGGGCGTTAATTGTTACCTGATCAACGAAGTGTCTTTCGTTAGTGGTGATCAAATCCAGGAGGGATGATAGTTGACCTGCGCGGTATCTGGTGGATGCAACGACATGTTGGGCCCAAGCGCTCTGTTGATGACTTCAACAAGTCGCCCGATCCGACGCGCTGGGGTTCCATCCAGAAGGCGTTTAGGGCGTTGAAGTCACCTACCAGCAGGAGATGAGTGAAGTGGTAGTTTGAGGAGAGTTGCTGAAGTGTTTGTATGAGGAATTGGTCATCTTCAGGGGGACTCGAAGGGCTACGGTAGACCACACCGAGAAGGAGAGGATCGTACCCGTGCAGCGGGATTTGGACACACAGTGCATCGCAAAAGGGTGCAGGGGTGGTGTCAGAGAGGACAATCAGAATGGGTAGGGCCACATGTAAGTACGAAGCAACCCCACCTGCCCGCCCCCGTTTTGAGTCGGCTCGAAAAAGAGTTACCGTCTATCGAGATCTCCGCGTCAGAGACATCTGGTGTGAGCCAAGTCTCTGTGATTGCGATTATGGACGGTTGTTCAAGGCAAGCTGACTGTTTAACATCACCGAGTTTGTTGAAAAGGCTGAGGCAGTTTGTGGAGAAGCATTTAAACCCCGTCCCTGCTGCCTCCGAGGGTGAGCAGCCGAAAGTTGAGTGACCAGGGTGGTTAGTATACTTAATAGCTGTGCGCCGGCTTCGAGTCCGAGGCTTTGAAAGGGCCCCTGAGGCGATGCCGTCTGCTTCCTGTCTTCGTGGATTTTGAGGGTGCTTTTCGCTTGCGAGGTTTTTTTCGTTCCGTGGGGGCCCGCTCTACTCGGGCCTTTTGGCCTTAGGGGACCAATTCTTTTTCCCCGTGGGCGAAAATTTCGACGGTTGCTTTTTGTGGCTCTTTCAGCACTCCCCTTTTGGCGGTCAGATTTGCTGTTGCTCAAAGACTTGCGGCAAGCTTTCGCCTTCCTGGATTCTTGGGTGTTTTGGCACGGTTTGACCAGAAAAGTGTCTCTGTGAGGCCTTGGGTGCTGGGTAGCGGCATCAGGAAGTAATGCTTATGATGGGGCTCCCATGCGGCTCGTTTTCACAAAGGACTGCACCTTGAGGCCAGCCAGCAGTTTTCTAATCTGGCGAAGTTTATGCCGCTTGTTTGGCTGCAGTCGCTCTTCTTTCGTGCTTGTGTGGACACCCGATCCGCTGGCGATCAGCGTGGCCAACTGGATGTACCAGGTATTTTCCGGATGGTTGTAGTCATGTTTGCGGCTTAGGTTGTCGGGGTCCTGGGCGACGGTTGTGTTCACAAGCAGAGAGGCCGCTTTTGACGGAGTGCAGCTGGAGCTTGGCTTTGCTGCTTGTCCCCGCACATCTGACACAGTACAGTTCAGAGGCTGTGACTTTGTTGAGGAGTGCATGGCTGCAGCTGTGTTGTCTGTTACGGAGATAAGCGTTAATAGCTCCATGTAATTTTGGCGCTGCTTGCATTTGAGGTTTGTCTCCTCCAGGGGATCACTGCCTTTGGTGGGCGAGAGGCCTGTGGTGGTCGAATAAAAACTGGTGTCCGGAGACGCAGCTGGTTTCGTCGGCCTGCTTTTAGGAGCACAACGAAGTATGACCACAACTGGATTGGTCATGAGTTTGGAGTCGGCTGAATTGGTGCCCTGCGGAAGCCTGTTTCGCGCCGCCACCCCTGACCTGCTGTGACCAAGCTTTCGCGCGTCCAGAGGACGATCCTGAGATAGACGCCTGAGCATTGGGTTGGTCTTCTGAATGCTACCAGCCCGCTCCAAGTTCTTCCGTACGTCAGCTGGGGAAGAAAGAGTGACAAGAAGTCCAAGAGTTCGCTTGCTTCCCTTCTGGCGTAACCATTCTGCGTGGAGCGATTGGTCAGGCTTGGTGAGGGTATTGCTAAGGATTAATTGTGCCTGCTTTGCTGGCGTGATTTTTCCGGAGAATGGCCCTCAGATTATCAGTCTGTTTTCCCTTAGGCACCTGTCCACTAGAGACGCTGTGGCGGTTTTTATAGTCGCGTCAGAGAGTTGTATTACTTTATTCGCAGCCATGGAGCCCGGTATGGATATCGCGAGGTATTGGTTCAGCGAAGAAAGTTCCTTGTCAACTTTCGTCCAAGTCGCTGCAGTGTTTGCGTCCTCCAGTGCCTTTGAAAGACGCTCCAATTTCGCGTCGGGTATTCCGATCAAGGCGGAACACTGACATCGGTCTTTCTGAATCTGCAGTGGGGCTCTCCCCTTGACTGCGGTATGCATTGCACCCTTAACGTGGAGGGGGCTGGCGCAGACAAACGAGTCAGGCGAGCTGGCTAGTCGGCTTATCTGGTCGTCCTGTAAACCCGTGCATTTGGAGTGCCACCAGGCCTTGTGGGTATGGCATTGCATATCGCGTTTGACGTTCGACGGGCAGCCATTCCGCCCACATCTGTTGTGGTCTATCAATGGCTGCAGAGGTCAAACGGTATAAATTGATGTCATGTTTAGGACTAGAAGTAAAATAGGAAATGTGCGCAAAATATCAAGGATTATCTCTCAAATGTTTTGTCACAGTAAGAAAATTCAACAATTACTCGTGTGTACTCGGTGGATAGATTGAAAAACGAAAAAA